AAGGGTGCGAGTTTTTCTCTTTGTTGAGGAGTTGGGTGTAGGGGAGGGGGTATGTATGTAGGAGCCTTCTTTTACTTGTGATTTTTTAAACTTCCCTTTAGCTAGCTAGAATTTGTGGTTTATGTAGTTGGTCTAGTTAGTATTATTGTGACCATTGTTTTAAATATCTCCGATATGGTCCGATATATCTCATGATATATTCTTTACAATGCTTGCGCAACCAATATGGTCTCTAAATATCCTTTACTGCCTTTTTCTATTTTGGGCGATACATCTCTGTTATGGTCGATATATTAGTCGATATGTTAACCGATATGTCCTTTTATATGGCTTGTCGCAAAACAATATATTGTGTTTGGTAATTTTTGGGCGAGATATCATGATTTTCCCATTATATCAAGTGATGTTTTGGCCTAAAAAATTCAGATGAAATGTTGTAACATTGATTTGTACTTTTGTTTGCTTTACAAAGTTGATTAATGATCCTAAACATATATTATTTACATTTTGTATGCTTAGATTTCATTAAGTATTTTGAGATTATATTTTAGTGCATTATACTATATATGCAAATATCCATTATGGCATTCTGATGTTTACTATATAACCCTGATTATTTTTTCGATACCAGCAATCCGATATGAATTTTAGCCGTTCGATATTTCCCCGATATTCAATATTTAAAACCTTGATTGTGACATATCTTAGATTATAGACACTCTTCCCCTAATTCACACACACATAAAAATAGTGTCTAAGTGAAAATATAATATAATAATATTAAGAAACAACTCAAAAGAACGAGAAGAAGATTGAATTGACATACATACCCAAATATCATGCATGCTTGCGCATTCACGATATTTAATGAAATTTGGGATTATTCTATTGTTAGGTAGGCATTATTAGGTTGCTTGAACTATTTAAACAACTTGATGAAAATTTCTCCAATCAATTTTTATTAAGGAGGCAAAATTTCAAGGTTTAAGGCAAATGCTATCAATTGAATATGCTAGTGTTATCAAAGGTGTGTGCCTCACTGCACCTTGTGTGCCCTATAGTGCAGGGTGGTGGTGAAACGCCCCACATCTGATGCAACAATACATTTTGCTCCTCACAAGCACCCTGACTTCGTGCAAGGTGCATGTTGTACATAGCCTTGTATATTTTTTGTTTAACATTTCAATCGAGTCTTTATGCTCGATAACCCATATCCCAAAAAGTAAAATAAACCCAATAAGACTTTTTAGTAGCCTTCGATTAGGGATCCTAATTAATCCTCATTTTTTACTATTGGATTTTGCTTGGATATTAGTTTTGATTTAACATTTAATTTGAAAAATTATGAACTTCGCTACTATGTTGGATACGTTAGCATTAGGAATTGTGACATTTTATTGTGATTTGGTAGTGAGATATATATTCTAACATATTTTTTATGTGAATTCATAAACATATTTTTTCATACTTGATTATCTATCTTGAAAAATTATGTGTGCATTGTGCGCCTTGCTTCCCTCGAGACGCGCATCGCCTTGTGCCTTGCTCATGTGTGCGTAACAGGACTTTGCTCTCTACATTGTGCCTCACATATTGATAAAACTAGTATCTGCATACAATATTTTAAAAAGCTTCCACGGAGCTTGCCTAGGCATACGCCTAGGCCTACGTGGTACCTAGACCGTTCGCCAAGCGCCTAGCGCTTAGACGATAACTAGGCTACCCACTTAGGTTTTAGAAGTGCTTAGTGAAGCGTGGTCCACCTACGTTGACTACAACCTTTAGGTCTTGATTATAATTTCCTCCGTTGCAACCTCCACTTCCTCCAACCTCCTTCAAACTCCTACAGCCTTCAATTATAAACACATCTACCTCCTCCAACCTTCAACAAAACCTTCTCTATCACCACTAAAATGAAGAAATAAATCTGTCTAGGCTCCAGTCCGACACCTAAACTTTCTATAACATTGGAGGATTTACTATCAACTATTGTGATTAAAAAATAAATAAGAAAACCAGCTAAGCCTCACCTAGGCTCGATGAGTTTTGTCCAACGCCTAGATCACCTAGCGCTTTCTATAACATTGTCTGCGTATGATTTATATATATTCTCGCTCATGATTTCTCTCTGTCAGATTTAAAGAACTTGTTTCAAGATGATTTTGCATTTTGTTAATTGATTGAACTATTCAAGAAGGGAGTTCCATTAGCGGACATCATTTTAATCTTCATGGATGCATTGAATGATGACAATGAACATGGGATTGTTAATAATAAGGTGTTCATGTTCTGTGCTTCTTCTAACTGCAAGTTCCATGATCAATCTTTTATCTTACTTTAACAGTCGAATTATTTTTGGAACACTGGATGAAAACTGAGTTTTTTTAATTTTTGTTTAACAAAACTTTTTGTCAAAGCTGTGATCATACATCATCTGAAACAGGTCTTTGTCACAGGTTTTAAAAATTATGGATATTAAACCAACGGTCGCTTTGAGGGCCATCTTTGTTGGTGGCATAGCTGCATTTGCCAAAGTGGCAGGAGCA